ATATTTTCTTCTAAAAGTATTTCAAGAGACCCGTAACTTTTATGGATTCTTAAAGACTTAAAATTTGCGAATATTAATATACATTCTAAATTTTTTTCACTTATATAAAGCCTTTAATGTATGTGTGCATTTCGCTATTTATTCAAATTCCATATTCCTCTAATGTAGAAAATGAGCCCTAATGGCCTAATCATAATAAGATCCTAATAAATAAATAAGGTGATAGGTTTAGTCTTAAAGACCTAAGTTTATCTCTTAGATAGACTTAATATGCCATGGACCTAATTAAATCATCTACTATTAGTTCTAAATTGAATACAATAAATCAATTTCATGTGTGAAAATAAGGCTATTTATTTTAGGTGTGACCCAACAACTAAGAAATGTAAAATCTAACTATAAACATCTCTGTACGACAATGGCCACATTTTTTATTTATACAAAATTATCTTACTATACTTAACTTTTTGTATTAACAAAGGACTCTGTTGTCGTCATTCTCAATATTCATTTCACGTTTAGCATAACATATTATTAAAAGAAAAATTTGTAAATTTTATTTATGATCATTTTCAGTTATTAATTACAAAAAATATTCGTTAAATTTATTTATTTATTATTTGCAAATTCACAGTCACATTCTTTTAATGCTATCCAGAAATCTAAATATTACTATCTCAAATCATTTTATATCAATTCTCAAATATTTAGTAACTTTTATTTGTGTAAATGACTAATTAAACATAATCCAATCTCTAAAAATAAAATCAGAACTTCTAATCTCATAAGGATTATTATTTAATTTAGGTTTATATTTTAAAATATGTTTCTTGCACGCTAGTAATTTGGATTAATTTCAAAATATTCTAGAATTCTACTAAAATTAAATAACTTGAATTTTTATATACACCAAAATTTTCACTAAAAATCTATATTTATTAATAAGAATAATAATTCAATTAAAATTCTAAATAAAATAACATTTTTTTGAAGTTTAAAACAAGTGTAAACTTAGATATATATAAGACCACACGAAGTATCAATGCTCTCTAATCAATCTTAGACTAAGCCTAAACTTAGTAGTAGGTTGTATAATTTTTCAATTATTTTTTACTTCATCAACTCTTGTTTCTTAAACGAATGGTATGGAATAATTTTGCAGAGGACAATTTTCTAATTTTACCACCTTTGTTTTTTGTTTAACCCAATAACAAAATTTAACAATGGGAGAAAAAGATTTATTATTAATTTAACTTAATCATGGTTTGATTCTCTAATTAAACTGAATTATAATTTAATTTAATGACGGAAGCAACACCAAAATGGAGTTGGGAATCTACGATGTCGTTTTTATTATATAATATATTTTTTTTGTTTGCTGGTGTATGAAACTTTTGATTGGATGGTAATTCTGGTATGCCACGACAACCCCACCTCGGCCACTAATATCTCCACTCATTTTCATTCTCCGAACAGACAATTTCTTTACGTATCCCTCGCTTTAAATGACTAAAATACCCCACTATTCTCTAGCTTTTCAAGATCCAAATGAAGATCATTTTCGTCCTTTTGTAATTCTGTCGTTTTCAATGAAAAGCATGCATCCAAATGAACGCCAGAAGGGTAGTTTTGGTATTTCATATTTTTATTGACGCAATATTTTAAAATAAAATTTATTAGTATTATTATTTTGGCTGCCACAACTTTATGTATATTTTTCATTTATTTTTATTTGTCCTACCCAATAGTAACCTCTCTCTCTCTCTCTCTCTCTCTCTCTCTCTCTCTCTCATCTTGTTCTTCCGTTTTCTCTTCAATTTCTGTTGCGAGGACAATGAGAGTTTCAGTGTCAACCATGTCTTTGGCTGCTTTCCAGATTCCTCAGCTCTCTCGATATTTTCTCTAGATTTGGTATCAACACGGTATATCTACTAATTTTCTTTTTCTGTTTTTCTTTCTTTTGCACGATTCATCGCTATACTGATCATAGTGTAAGGTACTGTATATAGAATTATTACTTTTCATTCTCGTATTATATGTTCGTTGATTGTTTTGATATTTCTCTGCATTAACTTCTATGGTTTTTTTGGTTCTGTGATTTTTTTTATTTTCTTTTCTCTAATTGTCTTTTCTTCTTTCCAGGCGTTTCCTTCTTTTTTTTTCTTTCTTTTTTTTTTCGCTTTTGAAAGTTTTTGATGTGCTAATAGATTTAGGTCTTCTATTTTTAGAGCAATCGATAAATTATCTGATCTGATTTTGGACTTATTATTTGAAGTTGACTTTTTGTGTATTATTATGCTTCGTCAAATGGTAGCTAAGGATTTGAATTTGCTTTCTTGCGGTTGCTACTATATGTGAGGCTATTATATAGATTTGCACTGTTTATCCTTCTTTTTTGATCTTCAAATTGATTCATATCCTTTTGGAGCGGAAATTACGAAGTTGTATGAAGCGTTTAGTTTTCAGATCTATTCGCTTTGATGAAAAGTTTGTGCCTTGTTTTCTTTCTTCCAAGTGAGAGTCTTGTCCATTCAGTTAACCATTTCCCTCCTTGCTAGAGGATTATCTGGAACTCAATCTAAAGCTTCTCTTCATGGTGATTAAAATTAAAAGATTTCCAGTCTCTTTCTACTTTTGGCTTAGTGATGGAGTCATGTGTGGCTCATCTGATCCAGTCAGTGGCTGTACTTTATCCGGCTCTCTCAGTCATATCCAGATGAACCTCCTAATAAATAATCTTAGCTAGAAGTCTGATATAAACTAGCTTCAATTGTTCATTAAAAATACAGAGCATTAATATATGGAGTTCTTGGTCTTGCCTCCTTGCAGTGTATTGTTATTGTTATACAACTATGTTCCTTTATTTTGTGGTTATTTGGTGATTCCTGAATTCTATTCTCAATTTATGTTTTCCTTCTGAAAAGATCTAGTGCAATCTTATACCTTGCAAGGATTTGGTTATGAAACAATTTTGTCTAGTTCTGTATTGAGTTTAATGTGATGTTGTCAATTTTATGTTTCTCAATAGTACAGTACTTACAGGCACCTTGTTTAATTTATACTATACCAACTAAATTGTCTTGTGACTTTAACATTTTTTATAAGCTTCTGATCAATTTAGTAGAGAGATCCAGTCAAATTAATAAGTTCTGAAATTGGTCTTTTACCTGTCAGAGTTCCTAATTTTCACCCCTTGGTCAAGTATCTCATTGAAAGAAATTTTTCGTTCATAAATTTATTTTCTGAGTTTTCAGTCAAGGTCCTAATGACTAGCAGTTTGTGACATTTCATCTAATTCAATGAATTTTTGGCATTTGAAAGATGATGATACTATCTTAGCTTGCAGAAGGAGATTGGTTCTTCTAATGCGAGATTTCACTTTTCAGATCTGGTGACTCCCCAGTTATATTTCTATTATTCTTATGTTTTGTGGGATGTTCTGTATTCATTTACCTGAAATTCCTGCTTCTTCTTTCCCCCTTATTATTGCCAGTCCATCTGCAGTATTTTTTCTTCGAAAGTTTGTTGTGCATCATTCTGTTTAATGAATACATTAGTTTCTTTTTTTTTTTTTTTGCATTTCTTTATACAGCTGAAGTTATTTTAGTTAAATTCTAAGTTTATATCCCTATATAAAAGACCATTTTGGTTTGTGCAATTATTGATCACTTCTCTTTTTGGTCAGGGTTCATGAAGCTGAACAATTTATCAGCAAGCAGCACAAGTCGCTTCAAACATCTCCACCCTTCAGTTTGTGTTCACGTTAAAGGGTTTTATCCTAGAAATGTTGTCAGATATCTGGGGTGCTGAAATGTTTTCATAACCGAACTTATCTATTTGGTTATATTTATAAAAGATGGACCGGTCAGACACTTCGGGCTTTGTTAGTGGTGGAGCTACTTATCAGAAGTCCTTCTAGAAGTCGATATAGTTTTCTTATGTAAAACTTGTAGTTGCATATACTAAAAATTGTTCTTTTAGTTGGACGTTGTGTGCCTTTCATGCTTAACAAGATTCATAAAATGGCTTTGAACAAATTTGTACAGTTTTCTCATGCCAGAGGATTCTCAAAAAATGAAAACTACGGTGATACTGCTTTAAGCCTGAAATGCCTTGGTCATGGAGGTAGCAACACAACCAGATATCAGAGCAGTCAAGACAATCTTCAGGTTGATGTTATTGCTCCTGATGATGGCTGCAAGTTGGTTCTTGGACTGGGCCCAACACCAAGTGCACATTGTGATGATTATTATAATGGTGGATTAAGCAAGAGCAGAGGTACAGATTCAGTCTTTTCTCAAGGGCTTTCACTTGAGGGTGATTCAGTTTTAAAACTGGGTCTTTCTGGAAAGGTTAAAGGAACTTTAAGTGAGCTTGACTGTTCATTGTCAATGGAGGCTGATGTTAATATGCTCCTGGTAAACCAAGTTTCTGCTGATGAGAATAGACTTTTGATTCCTGTTGTTGATGAGGGTTCCACTTCGGCCAAGAAATCTGGTGGTTACATGTCATCCCTCCTTTTGGCGTCAAGTATGCAAAGTGGCAAACCCTTGCTACAGATCCAAGAACTTATTCAGTTCGGGGCTAAAACTCATTCTTATCAAGCACAAGCTGCACAACTATGCTTTGAGCCATCTTCTCACACAGATATCTCGCTAGGTGCTCTCTCTGAGCAAACAACTACTGCCACATCTTCTGAGCACAGGACTAGCAACCTGAAGAAATGCAAATTTGCTGGTTGTACAAAGGGAGCACGAGGAGCATCAGGTCTTTGTATTGGTCATGGGGGCGGACAAAGATGTCAAAAGCCAGGTTGTAACAAGGGTGCTGAGAGCCGAACTGCATATTGCAAGGCCCATGGTGGAGGACGGAGGTGTCAATACTTGGGTTGCACTAAAAGTGCCGAGGGCAAGACTGATTTATGTATAGCACATGGTGGTGGCAGACGATGTGGATATCAAGGAGGATGTACCAAGGCTGCACGAGGCAAGTCAGGGCTTTGCATTAGACATGGTGGTGGGAAGAGGTGTAAGATTGAGGGCTGTACTCGTAGTGCTGAAGGACAGGCTGGCTTGTGTATCTCCCACGGCGGTGGTCGTCGTTGTCAGTATGCAGCATGTACCAAGGGGGCTCAGGGAAGTACAATGTTTTGCAAGGCACATGGTGGTGGAAAACGCTGCATATTTGCAGGGTGTACGAAAGGTGCTGAAGGAAGCACACCATTGTGCAAAGGCCATGGTGGGGGAAAACGTTGCCTCTTCGATGGTGGTGGGATTTGTCCCAAGAGTGTACATGGAGGCACCAATTTTTGTGTTGCCCATGGTGGTGGAAAGAGGTGTGTGGTGCCAGGGTGCACAAAGAGTGCACGCGGTCGTACTGATTGTTGTGTTAGGCATGGTGGTGGGAAGCGGTGCAAGTTTAAAGATTGTGGGAAAAGTGCCCAAGGAAGCACAGACTTCTGCAAAGCTCATGGTGGAGGAAAGCGATGTTCTTGGGCAGGAGGAAAATGTGAAAAATTTGCAAGGGGCAAGAGTGGTCTTTGTGCAGCACATAGTAGCATGGTTCAGGAGCGGGAGAATAAGAAGGGAGGTTTAATTGGCCCAGGACTTTTTCATGGGCTTGTCTCTTCTGGTTCAACTACTGGGAGCAGCTTGGACAACTATTCTTCCTCAGGAGCTAGTGCAATCTCTGAGTGCATTGATTCACTGGAAAAGCCAGCAAAGGGGCAGCATCTCATACCACCACAAGTGCTGGTTCCTCTATCTATGAAGTCCTCATCGTCTTATTCTAGTTTCTTGAGTGCTGAGAAACAAGAGGAACAAAGAAGTGTTTATGCCGATGGTGGCAATGGTGGGAGAAACAACTTTGACTTCATGATTCCGGAGGGAAGGGTGCATGGTGGGGGCCTTATGTCTTTACTTGGTGGGAATCTGAATAATCCCATTGATGGAGTTTGAAGTCATAGACAGCATTTGTAGAATATTGATTTGAGTTTGGTAGTTCTCTGCCATGGAATTGTCTAAAACCTTGATGCTTGAGTAGGTTCCAGGAATGTATAGTTTGTGTTGATTGATAGTTGTCTTCCGTTCTTGTGTTTCTTGGTACTTTTTCATGGTCTAGCAGATCAGTCGTGGACGATTATTGGGGATTGAGCATTAACCAATAAGCATGCGACGCAATGCATATTGGTATTATGTATAAAAACATGCTGTGCTTAAATTGTAGTGAGAATAATTTTAATGGATGACAATGTGATCATCCCTTTCTCTAACGGCCGTTTAGAGCCTCCTCTTATGGCTGAGCATGGTTAAGGGGATTGTGTACAAGGAAAGAAATTCTGAGATGATGATACAATGTCAGACAACATGTGGCTTTTGAAGGAGGTGTGAAATTAAGCTGGTATGTTGATCATCTAACTCTTTTAGGTAATTGAATAAGCAGAGCGTTATTGGCTTTATCTTCACTCTAGGAATGGGCAACTTGGACGGTGTCAAGTTGAGTTTCCAGTTCTGCCCAAGGTAATCTTTGTTATTGAGTAAATTATAAATTTGGTCTTTTATTTTTTATTTTTATTTTTATTTTATAATTTTGTTATTTGATATTTCAATTCTTGAAAATTAATGGTCAATCCTTTTATTTTTATTGTTGTTAATCCAGTCATTTAGTTAAGTGTTTATTCTGTTAAAAGTAACAAAATTTGACATGTAGACAACACGTCTGTGAGGGGGAATTAGAATTGGGTTACATGATTCTGTTAAAGATATTTGAAAGATAAGCTTACAATCTGTTTGGATAAATTTTAGTGATAGTTAATTAATATATAATAATGACAGTGATTGAATGATAATGACAAATGATGAAAATGATAATTTTTTTTATATTTGAATAATTGTATATTAATATATGTTAATGATATATTTTTGATTGGATAATATGATAATATAATTATATTTTTAGTTAAATTATTAATTTATTCATATTTATTATATGTAATAATAAATAATATATAAAAAATATGTAACGAAAAAAAATAAATTATTTATTAATATTATAATATTTTTATTTAAATAAATATTATTATACATAATTAAATTAAATTTTTATATTTAATAAAATAAATAATAATTTATGAAGATAAAAATTAAATATATTATATAAAGATATTAAAAGAAAAAAAAATTGTCGGTCATATACTACTTATTCAATATTTGTTAGTCAGATATTATTTAGTACTATTATAAATTAAAAGAAATATAATTTTTTTTATACTTATGGAGAATATACATTAAAATCTTATTATTTATCATGATTTAAAAAATGTGATAAAACTATAGCTTAAAATTAAAAGTTGTTAGTTACTTCAATCAAATTTTTGAATCTCACTGAGTAAACTACAAAATATTTTGGCGCTTTGAGAAGTATACACTTTGGACTTCATTTTTATAGAATTTTGACAAAAGTAAAAAATGAATAAATCATATTTATGAACCTGCCCTCAAACACTTACATGGTCAAATTTCTTCTATGCTTTTCTACTAGAGCCGCACCCACGCTCATTGTATATATAGTTACATTTTATTTGTCGATC